CGGAGGATGCAACGGAGCTCCTAATAGCTTGGCCGGATTTGGGCTTGTTGAACGACATCGCGGGCTTCGTTGTGCTGGGCTTGGGAAAGAACGGAGATTTTGGGAGGGTGTTGGCGTTCAAGGGAGAAGCGCTGAGAGTGGTGGAGGCCATTAATGTTATTAATTAATTAATTTGCTTCGCGGTGGTCTCTTCGGCGCCCCTCAAAATGTTTTCCTTCTGTGCGTGTGCGTGTGTGCGCGCCTGTGGAATTGTTGAGAGGAGAGGGGTAGATGTATATAATGTGATCGTGGTGTAGGTGTTGCTTGATAGGTGATCATTTATGCCGTTCTTCAATAATGTAGAAAGCTCCCCCGCATTGACAAATTCTTAATAAAGAAATGCTTGCGCATCTAAGTATATATACGTAACTTCTGTTTTTTTTAAGGGCTTTTTGTCTTTAGGTCCAATAGCTTACCTCCCTTTATTTTTAAACCCAAGTAGTATTAGTTGTATCTCTAAGTCTAAATTTCTTTTTGTATTTGTCTTTAAACCCAAATCCAAAATACAATACTTTCAACAGTGGGTCCCACCATATATTTTTCTTAAATTCCGGTTATACCCTCCCACTTATAGAATTCATTTAAGTGGGTCCCCCTTAAATAAAATAAACGAAATGGAGAGAGAGGGGGGAAACTGGCGGTAAATTTCCCCCCTCCATTCTCTCTCCGTCCTCTTTCTGCCCCCCTCTTCTTCTCCCTTTCTCTCACTCCATTAATAGAACTCAACAGGTTAACGTGCTATACTTACTGGTTAACGTGCTATACTTACTGGTTAACGTGCTATACTTACTGGTTAACGTGCTATACTTACTGGTTAACGTGCTATACTTACTGGTTAACGTGCTATACTTACAGGTTAACGTGCTATACTTACAGGTTAACGTGCTATACTTACAGGTTAACGTGCTATACTTACAGGTTAACGTGCTATACTTACAGGTTAACGTGCTATACTTACAGGTTAACGTGTTATACTTACTGGTTAACGTGCTATACTTACTGGTTAACGTGCTATACTTACTGGTTAACGTGCTATACTTACTGGTTAACGTGCTATACTTACTGGTTAACGTGCTATACTTACTGGTTAACGTGCTATACTTACTGGTTAACGTGCTATACTTACTGGTTAACGTGCTATACTTACAGGTTAACGTGCTATACTTACAGGTTAACGTGCTATACTTACAGGTTAACGTGCTATACTTACAGGTTAACGTGCTATACTTACAGGTTAACGTGCTATACTTACAGGTTAACGTGTTATACTTACTGGTTAACGTGCTATACTTACTGGTTAACGTGCTATACTTACTGGTTAACGTGCTATACTTACTGGTTAACGTGCTATACTTACTGGTTAACGTGCTATACTTACTGGTTAACGTGCTATACTTACTGGTTAACGTGCTATACTTACTGGTTAACGTGCTATACTTACAGGTTAACGTGCTATACTTACAGGTTAACGTGCTATACTTACAGGTTAACGTGCTATACTTACAGGTTAACGTGCTATACTTACAGGTTAACGTGCTATACTTACAGGTTAACGTGTTATACTTACTGGTTAACGTGCTATACTTACTGGTTAACGTGCTATACTTACTGGTTAACGTGCTATACTTACTGGTTAACGTGCTATACTTACTGGTTAACGTGCTATACTTACTGGTTAACGTGCTATACTTACTGGTTAACGTGCTATACTTACTGGTTAACGTGCTATACTTACAGGTTAACGTGCTATACTTACAGGTTAACGTGCTATACTTACAGGTTAACGTGCTATACTTACAGGTTAACGTGCTATACTTACAGGTTAACGTGTTATACTTACTGGTTAACGTGCTATACTTACTGGTTAACGTGCTATACTTACTGGTTAACGTGCTATACTTACTGGTTAACGTGCTATACTTACTGGTTAACGTGCTATACTTACTGGTTAACGTGCTATACTTACGATGTAACGTGCTATACTTACAGTTTAACGTGCTATACTTACAGGTTAACGTGCTATACTTACGATGTAACGTGCTATACTTACAGTTTAACGTGCTATACTTACAGGTTAACGTGCTATACTTACGATGTAACGTGCTATACTTACAGGTTAACGTGCTATACTTACAGGTTAACGTGCTATACTTACAGGTTAACGTGCTATACTTACAGGTTAACGTGCTATACTTACAGGTTAACGTGTTATACTTACTGGTTAACGTGCTATACTTACTGGTTAACGTGCTATACTTACTGGTTAACGTGCTATACTTACTGGTTAACGTGCTATACTTACTGGTTAACGTGCTATACTTACTGGTTAACGTGCTATACTTACTGGTTAACGTGCTATACTTACTGGTTAATGTGCTATACTTACAGGTTAACGTGCTATACTTACGATGTAACGTGCTATACTTATAGGTTAACGTGCTATACTTACTGGTTAACGTGCTATACTTACAGGTTAACGTGCTATACTTACAGGTTAACGTGCTATACTTACAGGTTAACGTGCTATACTTACAGGTTAACGTGCTATACTTACAGGTTAACGTGCTATACTTACTGGTTAACGTGCTATACTTACTGGTTAACGTGCTATACTTACTGGTTAACGTGCTATACTTACAGGTTAACGTGCTATACTTACGATGTAACGTGCTATACTTACAGTTTAACGTGCTATACTTATAAGTTAACGTGCTATACTTACGGGTTAACGTGCTATACTTACAGGTTAACGTGCTATACTTACTGGTTAACGTGCTATACTTACAGGTTAACGTGCTATACTTACTGGTTAACGTGCTATACTTACAGGTTAACGTGCTATACTTACTGGTTAACGTGCTATACTTACTGGTTAACGTGCTATACTTACAGGTTAACGTGCTATACTTACTGGTTAACGTGCTATACTTACTGGTTAACGTGCTATACTTACTGGTTAACGTGCTATACTTACAGGTTAACGTGCTATACTTACTGGTTAACGTGCTATACTTACTGGTTAACGTGCTATACTTACAGGACTTGGCATTTCTATCAATATATTCAACATTCCCAGCACATACAACATACAACATTGCATTGCCACAGAACATACATACAACATACCATATTTCCAGCGCATACAACATTTCCAGACTATCTACATACACCATACAACATTAACCTGTCACAGAACTTGGCATTTCTATCAATATATTCAACATTTCCAACACATACAACATACAATATTGCATTGCCACAGAACATACATACAACATACCATATTTCCAACACATACAACATTTCCAGACAATCTACATACACCATACAACATTGCATTGCCATAGAACTTGGCATTTCTATCAATATACATTTATACAAATACGTCACAAATCAATTTCCAAAATATATTTGTTTGACATTATATACTCCCAACAAGCAATCAACAATAACTGGTTGCATTGGAAGATCTGGAAGGTCTAAGTAGCCATAAAATGGAGTCTCACGCAGGACAATTCGTTGATCTTCCGATAAATAACCAGAAATTTGTTCTTGAAGGTCCCGGAAGTACCCGATGTTTGATGGAATTCGCACTAAAACCATCGGATAAAATATTCTGCAACCATAAAACATAAGGCAACTTTAGTTGTCTATCAATATTGTACATTCCTTCATTGAAACAAATTTCATTTCAAAGCCTATGATTTCAAAATTGTAACAGACAATCTCAATTCTCGAATTATCACGCTTTATCTTTATATCAACCTATTTACAACCTATTTAGAATTTTTCCTTTTCTCTCTCAGTGAAAAAAATCTTGTAATAGACATACATATGTACAATATCAAACTGTTACAGATCAATATTTTTCATTTTCTTTTCATTTCTTAGTAATTTTTTTGTATCAAATGTTAACAATAACAGAACTTTTGTTATTTGATTTGTTTCAGGTATTGATTTGCAAGAGTTTGAGACTAACTAAAATTTTGCAACTTCAGTCCCATTGGTACTCAAATTCAGCGTTCATCTGTAACTCTGGGATATATCAGTAAAGTGGTCCGCATGGCTTAATAACAATGCAAGTAACACCAATGAACTAGGAATACTAAGACACATCACTAAGAAATGAAAAGATGAGTATCAAATATCAAAAAAAAAATCGACGAAAACACAGCCAACGCTCTTGCAAATCAATACCTGAAACGATGAGTTCGACGGCAATGATGACGACAATGTCGACTGCGAAATCCGTCGGCGGCAAGGGGACAGCGAGTATAGACGGCGCGATCGACGGCAACGGTCTGGGACTTGGGTCGCGGCTGCGGGCGACGGTCTGGGACGGTCGATAACGCCTACGGGCGACGGCCTGGGTCAGGCGACAGCTGCTGCGGGCTGGAGCGGGCGAGATCGGGGTCGCGGCGAGAGCTAATGTCACGGCGGCCTCGAGCGGCTGGAGCGGGCGACAGCGAGATCTGGATCACGGCGGGTGGAGCGGGCGACGACGGCGAGATCTCGGTCACGGCGGCTGGAGCGGGCGACGATAGCTGGAGTTCTCTTTTTCAATTTAGGGCTGAGGTGAAATAGGGATTTTGAGGAGAGAGACGTTGATATGGGGAAAGGGGGTATTTTGGGGTTTTTGCCTTGATTATGTATAAATACTACTGCTGAAAGTATTGTATTTTGGATTTGGGTTTAAAGACAAATACAAAAAGAAATTTGGGCTTAGAGATACAACTAATACTACTTGGGTTTAAAAATAAAGGGAGGTAAACTATTGGACCTAAAGACAAAAAGCCCTTTTTTTAATTTTATTTAATAACAGTTCCTGTGGTACGTTTGGGTACAATATTTTCTTTCGGATTTTAAAATCATATAGGAGAATATTTGGGTTTAAAAAGTATATTAATTTTCTTACTAGCTGGGCACGTATATAATTAATCCTTAAGAATTCAAATATGATGTGTTTATATGTAGTTAGTTAATTAGCTTCTTCTTCCTTTTCTTTGTTTTTATTCAAGTTTGTCTGTCAATACTAATGCATATATGGGCAATATTAATGCTAGAATAAAGAAGAACAGAGAATGTTAGAAGAGCACACGTACAGGTAGGGAGCTTTTCGTCCTTAACTAATTATTGAATAGTTGTGTAGGAAAAAAGAGAGCTTATGCACGCTCCTGATATATAATAGAAAAATTACACATTGCTAAGCATGATTAATGGTTGTATATATTTCAAGCTTAGAAGGGAAGGACGCGTACAAGATATGGGTACGTATAATCTCAGTGGGAGTCATCAATATGTGTCGATGTGACAATATGATATATTTTAAGAAAACTTCTACAGCACGCGTACCAGTGAAAAGGTCTTTCTACCTCATGATAGAAAACTTATACAGCGCCTGGGTGTATTAACAAGCGTTTGGTTACGTACTTTTCTTTGTTTTCTTCCAAATTTCTCCTGATTTCCAGTGAAAAGGTCTTGGTATTGCGTAAAATTAAGCCAACTCACTTATATGATTATAACAGTTTCAGGGCTTTTTTTGCATATGTACCCCTCTAAATCTTCAATATTTGCAAAATCAGCCCTCGAATATTGGTATTTGCAAAATTACTCATCGAAACTGCTATCATATTGGGTCTTTCTACCTTTCCAACTTAAGAATTTAGTTTTAAACATGGCAATATCAAAATTTTCAATAATTTTCAACATATTTGCAACAATTTCCAGTTTAAAAACTAAAATTGTTAGGTGAAAGGGGCACAAAAAGTCAATGTGGGAGAATTAGGGATAATTTTGCCAATGCTAAAATGTGGAGAGTAATCTTAAAATATGAAAGATTTGGCGTGTACATATGCAGAAAAAACCCTAGCTCTTATAATTCCGTACACTTAATGAAGATTTGGTTCCCTGTTGAACCTATATATAATTACAAAAATAATACACTGAGACAAAAAGTTAAATCTACCAATAGAATCTATCATATACCAGCTTAGAAAAGAAAAAAAAAATGGCTGTGATTGGCAACTTAGCAAAACTGGGTCAAATTTGTTTATTGTGAAAACCAGTTTTTTTATCTGAAAAACAGGGTGAGATACCCTGTTCATATATATATATATATATATATATATATATTCTCCTTACTAGGATCCTTCAACCAAGTCCCAAAAAAGCAAAAAGAACAGACTGTCTGATAATACACACTGCAATAGTGCAGATAACACAAGAGCTACAAACCCCAGAGTCATACAGAGCACTGACACTCATCAGCTAACTGACTGGATAGTGAGAAGCATCACCAGAAAAAAAAGAGAGTAGAACTGAGACTATGTCTTGATCAGAAGACATTCCAAAACAAAGAGCATCAACGAGCATCAGAGAAGTTGTCGTCGCAATCTCCTGCGATGTTGGATTTAATAAGGTCCTGCAGCTTTAAGTTTTGAACAGCCCTTCGAGTGCGAATCGCCACTCTCTCATCTTCTGCCCCTGTCCAAAACAAGATAAATCTTGCAACGTTAGCAGCTATGTGGATGAGATTAGCAATGACATCTCTGAAGATAAGCTGGTTTCTACAATGCCACATTCCCCAACAGAAACTTAGCAACAGGTATTTCTAAATAATTTTGATATCAGAACAGATGTTTTGGTCTGTGCGCATGAATATCAGTCCCTCCATGGAACGAGACCATCTAGCAATGGGAGCGAGAGAGAGGAGAGAGGACCAGACATATTGAGCAAAAGAGCAAGTAATAAATAAGTGATCTTGCGATTCTACTTCCTGCATACAAAAAGGGCATCGAGGATCACCAGTCCAGCCCTTAGAGATCAAATTAGCTCTGGTATTAAGCTTGTTTTTGGAGATAATCTAGAATAGAACCTTAACTTTCAGAGGGATGTTAGACTTCCAGATAAATTTATGATTGGGAGATAAAATCCCCCATAGGTGATGATAGCATATATGGATTTAACAGTGAAAGATCCAGATGGATGGTAAGGCCACCACAGACTATCGTGGGATGGAGATAGGGCAGCATGGAGAGTATCTAGATGAACATTGAGCTTGGTAATGTCACATTTTTCCACTACAGAGATACCCCTCCTGAGGATAGGGTGCCATTTCCAAGCTAAGTTGCACTGATAGCCTTGAGATCTTACTGAATTGCTTCTAGAGAAAGAAAGTTGGCATGCTATAGGGAATAAACTGCTAAGGGAATTAGCATTAGACCATTTATCATTCCAAAAACTGCATGTCTTACCGTCTCCCACCTGCCATCTAACCAGACTGAAGAAGGTGGAGTGGATTTTATGTAAGTCAGAAAAGAATTTAGAAGCTGACTTACTTGGGAGATGCACAAATGGATTATCATTATCTTTTGAATAGAGAGAGAGAGAGAGAGAGAGAGCAGAACTTTACTAATAAGAGTATTCCTGTCGAGGGCTTTCCATAACCATTTAGAGAGGAGAGCAATATTGAAAGAAGAGATATCAATGACCCCCAGGCCTCCTTCATGTTTAGGCTTGCAAACTGTGGTCCAGTTAACCAGACATTTGGATTTAGAGTGAGTGATACTCACATTCCATAGGAAATTTCTCCTGATTTTATCGATTTCATGAATCACCCATGTGGGCAATTTGAAACATGACATATAATAGAGGGGAATAGAGGATTTTATCGATTTCATGAATCACCCATGTGGGCAATTTGAAACATGACATATAATAGAGGGGAATAGAGGAGAGAACAGAGTTAAGGAGAGTAAGTCTGGGGCAATTTGAAACATGACATATAATAGAGGGGAATAGAGGAGAGAACAGAGTTAAGGAGAGTAAGTCTGTCGCCTATGGATAGGAACTTGTTCTTCCATAATGACAATTTTTTCTTAAGAGATTCCAACAAGGGTTGCCATTCTCTTTTGCTCAGAGATCCCCTCTTGAGAGGAAGACCGAGGTAAGAGAAGGGGAGTGATCCCACAGAGTAGTTAAAAGTGGCAGCAAGAAGTGAGCTTTTGTGTGGAATTCTTCCAAGATAGTAAAGATTGGTTTTCTAGGGGTTGACATGAAGGCCGAACAGTTTAGCAAAGAGAAACATAATTGTTTTGAGAGTGGTCATGTCTGATGGAGAGGCCCTACAAAAAATGATGGTGTCGTCTGCGAACTGGAGGGCTCTGATATAATTCAACTCACCCTTCAACTTGAGATCAGCAAGGTCCCCTGAAACTGCACTATATGATAGCATTTTGTTTAAAACATCCGCAACAAGCAAGAATAACATAGGAGACAAAGGATCTCCTTGCTTAAGTCCCCTGAAACATCTGAAGAAGCTTGTGGGGGATCCGTTGACCAGGATGGCAGATTTAGAGGAGTGGAGAAGGTGGT